CCTGGCGGCTGGAGCCGATGGCAGGACCTCCAGAGGCCACGGTCCGAGCGGGCGAGGGAGGCCCACACGGTCAGGACCTTCCCGACTCGGCTCCTCTGCCTGAGCCGACGGCAGTGAGGCCCCAGGGATGATGGGATCACAGGTCACCTCTGGCCCAGCGGGCCTCTCCCTGTGAGGCCTCGGGAAGGCCGCCTCAGCTCTCGCTAGCGCGTCTCACACACAAATGGAAGCGTGGGGACAGCCCGCGCCCCAGCCTTGGGACTCCTGTGCCCCCCCCCCCCGGAGGGATGAACACACAGACTTAGGTCTTAGTGTATGAGGGATGGAAAGTCCCTAGAGAAAGGATTCCACTGTAAGTCCAGCTGGAACTCTAAAAAGCAGGATCCTGAACCCAGCGCAGGCCCCCTCCCTGCCCGCTGAAGGCAGCCCCCGGGCCAGGCCCTCGGAACCAGGCCGCCTGGGCTGTCTAGGGGACTGACGTCTCCCCATCGAAGGAGCAGGTGACACCACCTGGCTGGTCAGCCCGTGGGAGGCACTGAGAACTGAGCAAGGGGACCCAGCCTCAGGGAACCAGACCCGTGAAAACGTCACCTGGGAAGGAGAGAGCTCGGGGGTGTTTTTAACTTGTGACCAAGGAACCGACGGCCTGTCAGGACCCCGCCCCGCAACAGCGCCCGGCCCGGGAGCCGCTACCTTCAGGTGCACGGCGGCCGAGCCGATCAGCAGCAAGGAGTCTCCGTCCCAGACGTCCACCTGCAGGCTCTGCACGGCCAGGTAGCGGGTGAACCAGCGCCGCTCCCCGGGCCTCAGGAACCCGGGGTCCACCAGGTACCTCAGCTGGAAGCCCGGAGGCCCTGTTCCGAGAGGCCCCAAGTGAGTCCAAACGCAAGGGGTCCCTTCTCATCCTCACACTGTGAAGCGGTTCCTGCTCTGATCATGCTAGTTCCTGCTTCCGTCACAGCTAAAGTTTAATAAACACGTTAATCAAAGACGTCATCAAGTCCAAATTAACACGTGAAGGTACACTGCTTTCCAACACGTTCAACAAACTCCTCCCAAACGAAGACTGATGCTTCCCCGAGTCCTGGGGATCAGGCCACGCGGGGCGACAGGGCCCCACGGCTGCAGGAGTCACGCTCAGGCTCAGGAATCAGGGAGGAGTCAGTCAGCATCTCCTGTCAAAGCTGCACGTCACTCACACACGCAGAGCTCAGCACACGCCAGCGGAGACCAGAACCACCGCCACCGGCCCCA